GTCGGTTTTCTTTCTTTGTTATTGTTTGCCGTGGTGTTTTGACTAAAATACCCCTGTGGAGACCGAAAGCAGCGGCCTTATTTCTTTTTGGGGCCATTTTATGTTCTTTTTGAAGAAAAACATCTATTCCTGTCTATTTGGATGTTTTATGATTATTTACCGATTTGGTTAAAAAAAAAGAGGGGAGATTTCTTTTCCTCATCTTTTATGTTTCTGAATAAATAAATTTATTTATTTATTAGGGTCAAAACATAACGGCAGCTGTGCTGTTATTGTTGGCTGTTTTTTCTGCTATAAACCCGAAATCTCCGAGGGAGTTAGAACCAGTATTGAGCTCTTGAGTGTGCTATGAACTATCTTGTTATTGGAGGACTTTTCTGAAAAATTTACTTCTATTTTCCTCCGACATTGACCGTAAAGCCGATGCTTTGGGAAGCGTACGCCGGTATTCCTGGTCACGTGCCTGCTCATCAGGACCCCGTCCACAACTTCTTTGCTCATATATTTTTTTTGCCCGAAGGAATATTTTTTTGCTTTTTAACTCCGGTTGGCCTTTTCTGTAATTAAAAAAATGTTGTTGGGCTTCTCCGCACTCGCGCGGTAATTGCTTGGGAACGGTTGTGATGATTTACAGAAACGCCACTGGCATTTCGAGGGGCATTTTGGTCAAAGCGAATCGTACTTGTTTGAACGCTACGCTCTTTCCTCCTTTATCATCCGGTGCGGTTTCGCGTGTGGTGAGCAGGTGGAGGAAGTTATGGGCTCCACTAATTTAAAATTGATTAATTAAATGCATAATTAATCAGTTGATATCCTCACGCCCGCCTTCTCAAATCTCACACCTAAGAATGAAGACAGTGGCGTGGAATTTAACTTTAATTTTTTTTATTTAAATAACGGAAAACTCGAAGCGAAAACGGCAAAGGTTTGGCGTTAGATCCACGATTGTCTTCTTGTGTACTGGTAGGATTCGATGCGGGGTTCATCACTTCCTTGTACGTTTTTGTATTTTTAAAAGCTGAGGTGTCATCCTTGGAGAGGTTCTCAGTGCTTTATCTCTGCAGCTAATGGCATTTCTGTGAATTTCAGGTTGTTGGGATCGAGCGTACGCCGTTTGTTTACAGAATCCCACCGGTGAAGGATATTAGACGGACTGGAAAGAAAAAGGTGTGGTTTTTATGTAAAATTTTGCCGACTTCCCAAAAAGTCGATCTTTCTCCCTAAATTTTGGTTGAATTATTGTATGGGTTTTTATGATTGGAGTTGGTGGGTTGGTTGCAGACATTATCGAAGAAAAGAATCAGCTCCAAAAGGTGGGTTTTATTATTATTATTATTATTATGAATTGGTGAAGTAATTTTTATTAATAATTTTTGGGATTGGTTGGTTAATAATGAGTTGGATCAATATCAGGAACTGGCATTGAAAAGGAAGTCTTACGAGGCTTTACAAGCAGAGAACCAGAGGTTGAAGAGTCAACAGGTGACCGCACCCTTATCCTTTTGTCTTCTTTTTGGGACCTCTTCATAAGTCTCAGTTTTATCCTGCAACCTGTTTCTTTATCATAGGTTTTTTGTACACATGCTTCGATTCTGAGAATTGTTATACTGTGGCTTTATTTGGAAGGCCTTGGATAAAACCAATAAGAGGGACCCATGTAAGGAACCTACCTCAAAATAAATAAATAAATAAAGAGAGGAACCTGAATCAAAGGAGAGAAATACAGTGTGTTTGGGAGATGACTTAGGGAAACTCCTTCCCTTCCCCTTCACAGGGTGTAAGATTTTGGCTCAAATTTTCTTCATTCATCTCTTTTACCCTTCTAAATGGAACTCCCAAGCAATTTTAAAATTAGATTTCTCTTCCCCCTCTACCCTCCATCCAAACAGGCCAATATTGTTGGACTGAGCAAAGCTCACTACTTTATCCTTCTATTTTTAAACAAAGTAGTGTAATAAATAGGATGGGTCCAAAAGTCCTGCTCGTGGGCCCAATCAACAGGTGTTTCTCTTCCAGTATAAGATCAAATCTACGCCAACATAGGGTCCTTTGTTGTTATCTTATAGATAACAAACAAACTTCTGTGGAATGTTGTGCTGCATATGGTGTGTTTGGTTGGGGAATCTGGCTGTCAATACATGGTGTACGTTTGGCACCAAGTGAAGGATGCTGGTTATGGTTTAACTAGTTGATGCATACCAAAGTAAATCAACCTTCGGTTTGATGAAAATGTAGATTAAAATATGATTAAAAATTGATTCACTATCAGTTTTTGGAGATTAAAATATGATTAAAAATTGGTATACATTTACTATCAGTTTTTGGCTCTAGTGTAGGATGAGATTTGGGCAGTGTATCCGTGAATGCATGTAGGCTTGGTATTTTGGAATATATTTGATTTTTCAACCTGTTGTTACTTCCTAACTGTTGAACTCCTGTTGCCTGTTTTTGGCCACAGGATCCTCAACATGCTTGATTGTAGAGGATGCCCACAATGCACCGATAACCACATTTCACTCTATGGATCCCATGAGTGATATGATTAAATAAAGTATATAAAAAATCATTTTAGTTGTGGTGCCTATTGCGTAAACCAATCATATTTATCCAGGCATTCTCTACAATCTAGAATGCAGAGAATCTCTTCTCTGTTTTTTGGGTATCATTTCTTTTGGTTATTTTTACCCATTCCAAATGAAGCGCTATTAATTGAGCTACATTTTTGGATTTAAGTTTTTCAGAACAGTTTCAGATCTACTGTATCAGATATTTCATTTTCAGAATGTGTTAAATGAACTCAACAGACCTCCTCTTTTTTAATCCTTCTGACTGGTTTACATGCATAATATAGGCAGCTAAATTGTTATACTATAACATTCATACAGTCATGCTTCTATTGGTGGAATTGGTGGTTTGCAATTTCCCCGGGTTTATTTGACTGGTTCAGAGAATTCACATTTGGTTTTAAATATAGTTATGCTTTCTCTATTCACATTCTCAACAAGGAAAGGAAAACACGAGTTTGTATATGAGTGGACGCACAAGATGTGCCTTTTCATTTTTCCTTCAAATATGTTTTCTTGTTTGCTAGGTTAGAGGGGGTAATTACAAGCTGACTGTGATTGCATAATTTGTGGTGTGAGAGTGGAGAGAAAATGAACGAGTTCTTCTTCATAAAGTGGACATGGAATTTTGCGCCTTTACACTCACTTTTTCCTTCGATGAGTCTACTTCCATTTTCTCTAGATGGATATGCTAAGCTAAGCTTGCTTAGCAAAATAGATAGAGTGGGGGGGGGGTTATTCATTGGGGTAATTTGGGGCAAATTGGGTAAATTTGTTCTAATGGGGTAATTTTACCAAATGGGATAATTTGAGTGGGATAAATTAGGGTAAAATGAGATGATGGGACAATTTGAGTGGGGTAAATTGTGGTAAAATCGGATAATGAGATAATTTGAGTGGGACAATTGGTATGATATTTTTTTATAATATTATATTTATAGCTCAATTAAGTTCAAGTTTAACTTAAATATAACATCAAAAAATAAATAATAGTTATAATATACAATAATCGCTAGAGCATAGTTTCAACTTTAAATTATCACAAGTACATAGTTTCAACATCAAATTATCACAACAATACAAGAAAATTCACAAGTACATAGTTTCAACATCAAATTATCACAACAATACAAGATAAATGGTTTTAACCTTCATGTTCATAATTATCACAACAAAAACTTTAATAACACACAAAATTTAATAACACATCCAAATAATCCCAAACACCCCCAGAACCACCTTCCCTCACCGTGCCAAACACCCCCAACACCACCTCCCCTAACTGGCAAGCACCCCCAGCGCCTTCCCTCAGCTCACCCAAGCCCTCCGGCACCACCACCACCAGATCTC